TTGCGCCCTGGACACTCAATCAACGCTTTATCAGTGCATCTCTATTATGACTGCTGCCATGTCTTTTCTCACTGAGGTTTATTATTTATGATTATTGCTGGAACAGCAGCCCTTCAGGACCCGGAGTCAATACCTCTATAGTGCTATACTGTAGGCGGGAGAGACCTAAGACCTGGCCTGGCTCTTTCAGAGCTGGGATTGGATTCTTTAATTCGGCTGTTCACATAGAGCAGCTTATCCTGATCCAAGAACAGTCAATTCAGTACCTGAAGGACTGTCTCCAGGCTCTCCTTCTCATGTTAACATTCAGTTTGTTTGTGTTGCCTGAATTAAGTGTTTTGTATATTTCTTAAGAGGAGAACCTCCAGTGACGATGACCGTTAAGGTTTCTAGATCCAGATCTGCTCTGAGAAAAATATCCAAGGAACTAACTAGTTACAGATCCCATGTGGTGTGTTTTTATTTTAGAATGTGAATTATCACTGTGCAAGTCTTCATTCTTCAGTCATTTGATTGACCAGATTTGACAGTCAGAGGGTGGATTGAGATTTTGGGAGATGCTTGGCGAAGCTCCCACTTCTAGGCTTTCTGTCATTGCTCAAGAACTCATACAGGACTCTTACCTTGTCCCATGCACTATGTTGTGGCACAATGCCTATTCTGTTCCAGTGCTGTTTGTTCTCTGGATACAATAATATTTTTTATTATTGTGCCTGTGGTTAACCCTGAGGGAGCGCTGTCATCTGGCCCTGGCTTCCCTCTGTAATTTTGAGGATTACACCAATTTCATGACATAACCCAGTAAGAGGATTATAGTCATCATTACCCAGTGGCTCACTGGAGCAGGGTTTTTCAGCAGGATGGTACGGCGCAGCCTCTCAGTCGGTGCCAAGCAGTCCCAGAGATCTTGGGGAGGTGCTCCATGCCCCTGCATCCCAAGGCACTGGACACACAGCCACATGCAGTCCTGCACCATGTCCACCGTCCTAGAGGTAGGTAGGCCCCTCCTGCTGCCGAGCGGGAGTAGGGCGTCCATTCGTACGTTTCGGTTTTTTACATTTGTTAAGCACAGATCCATCTGTTTACAGTAACAGCGCAATGCAGTTTGGAGGTGAGCAAGGCTACTGCTTTTATTGGACTTGCAGGATAGGCTTTTACTCTCCACAGCGGGCACAGCCACGTCGTGTTTGTCGAGTGTGTTTTTTTTAAAAGGGGAGTTTTCAGGGCGGCTGTTGGAATGGCTCAGCTGGAGCCGCCGTGTGACGAGGTCTGGGAGCGTCTCGCCTCAGAGTCGCGTTCCTCTTCGCGGCCCTCGAACGGCCTTTATCGCTCCTGTCTCGGCCGTAGCCCCTTGTCTGCAGGGCTTGGCTCATGGCGTGAGAAGTAAGGGTGGCACAGGTCTGTCTCGGGGACTGCTTTCCTAGTTCGAACATCAAAGCCACGTGCTCGCGAATGCGAGGGAGAGGTCAATGGGGCTTAATGAATTTTAGAAACATTAGATAAATGCGTAGCTAATTGTTAATGTGGGCTTCGACATCTGACAGGAGTTTTGTTCTTTGCTGGTTATATAATGTCATTAAATGCACGTGTCATTGTGTAGTCTCTAAGTCCCTGTACAGATGTCTGTGCTTTGTTGTTATGAGGTAGCTGGGGGGGAATAGTCCCCTGATTTTCATTAATTGTATTACCCACATAAAGCACAGCCTGCTGCAAGCAGTTACTTTCTCCCCGCTGAGAAAGCTATGCGAGATCACGACTTGATTAGTGTGCGTGAGAGCAGCTCTCTCAGGACCCTTTGTTACTGGTCTCGGCTTGGTACAGCGTGCTTGTTCTCACTCTGTCTGCTGCAGTCCTCTGTTAGTACTGCCATGCCCACTCCTGTCGATCACAATGTTGACCGAGGATCAGGGTGTTGGGATCCTTTGGTGATCCATGTGGATCCCATTGGCATTCCACCTTATTAATAACAGTGTTCAGAGTTCCCAAAGGATCTCTGATACGTTTGATGTGTACATTGAATTTTGAATGTGTGCATTGCTCTTAGGAACTATATTTTTACAGTGCTTTTTAAAAAAACACCTACAGTAGGTGAAGAGTAGCAATAGGCATGTGATGAGCCCAACCCTCAGTCTGATGCAATGGCTGATAATGTGAAGACCAGGGGTTTTACTGTATGCATTTCAGGTGTGCATCAAAACAGCATTACAAAATCCCAAACCAACATTAGTATAGTGTACACACTAGTGCACACAGAACCAAACAAATCCTTGTAAGAATGTGCATTTCCAGAGCGGCCGTCGATAATCCAATAATGAGATAATTAACACCCAGTGTGGCTATTTATAGTGTGGCCTCTAGTGCCAGGACCAGTGTGATTGCAGGCCAGCCACAGGGCAACAATGGAGTTCTCAGTTCCCAGTTATCATATGGAGATTTTCCAATAATTATGGTTATTGTCTGATAAGAATGTGTAAGATTTCCTGTAGTGTATCAGAACTTTACCCTTTTCACACTTGGGCAGTATAAAAATTGGCTTCAAAAAACAGTGTAGAAGGAAAATATGTTGAGACAGAAAAATATTTTGTTTTGGATCTCCATCCCTTTCCAGTGCCATTCTGATTTTAACCTGTTGGTTCAACACACTGACCTTACTGCTTTCCATGCCTGAATATAATTTGAACTTGTTTTTTCAACTAATCTCTGTTGAGTTCTTGGCAAATGTTACAGGAAGCACTGAATGATTGTGATAGATAATTTGCTTTTCATATCACCCATCTGGGTTAACAGGCAATGATTTTCTGCGATATATTTCAGCATGATTAGACTAAACCGTAATGTCTGAACAGCCGATTGTTGACGCATACCTCATGAACAGCACAGGCCAGGAGCTGCTGTGCCCTGTCAGGGAGGGCATGAGGGTGGCAACCTACTGTATTAGGACACCAGAGGTCTCCTCTGTTCTTCAGAACACCCCTGAACTATTTTCAGGTTTCAAAATAGTTTCTCATTGTCTTCCAAACAGCACCCTGCCTGTTTATGTAAACAAAAACCGTGTGAACCATTGTATATAATGTACATTACTTCACAGGGATGCAAACAGTT